CCAGACGTACTTGGCCATGGCCCACTTCCTTTACGAGGTATGTCACCACCGCTTTGGCAAACTCACATTTTGCCAGATTTAAGGTGAGGGAGGCTTGAGCTAGACGAGCAAACAGTTTTCAGAGTGTTAATATGATCAGTCCAGGTTGATGAATAGATTACAATGTCATCCAAGTAGACATTACAATTCTTAATGTCTCCTAATACAGTGTTCATCGGTCGCTGAAAGGTAGCTGGTGCATTTCGCATTCCAAATGCCATCACTGTATATTGCAGGAAATGGTCTGGTGTGACAAAAGCTGAAATATCAGAAGCTCTGGCAGTCAGGAGAACTTGCCAGTATCCTTTCAGCAGATCTAATTTTGTGATATAGGTTGCTGCACCAATGCTGTCTATGCAGTCTTCCATGTGAGGCAATGGATGTGAATCCGGGACTGTAACCGCATTTACTCTTCGAAAGTCTGTACAGAAACGCTGACAACCATCTGACTTTGGTGTCAGAACACATGGAGAGCTCCAGGAGCTACCACTCTGTATGGCCAACCCATTTTCCTGTAAATACTGAATCTCTTTCTTCATCATTTCCCTCTTGACTGTGGGACAACGGTATGCATGTTGTTTCATGGGGGGTGTCTCCCACATCGATGTCATGCTCCAGTACTGAGGACATGTGTCTCAAGACACATGTCTTGTCTTGAGAAGAAGACAAGACATGTGTCCTTGTCTTCTTCTCTGAAAAGCATAGGGTGCAGCTGGATCAGTCCTTCCGCATCCTCCTTCTCACCCTGGGGAAGATAGGACAGATATGCATCCAAGGAATCAAAAATGACAGAGTTTGAAACCCTACCCATTGGCCTTCATCACACTTCTTCAAACCATCATGGGGGTATGTCCAGACACAAGAGAGATTGATGCAGGTTGTGGAGAGTCCTCACCACATGTGTCCTTGTCTTCTTCTCTGGAGTGAAACAGCTTCAACATATTTATATGACACAGACGCATTTGGCGCCTCCTGTCAGGAGTATGAACAATGTAGTCTGTGTAATTGACTTTGCTATTTACCACATATGGGCCTGCAAATTGGGCTGAAAGAGATGGGGGCGGGTGCAGGCACCAGCATGAGCACTTTATCACCTGTTTCGAACAACTGCTTTACAGTCTTTCTGTCATACAGATGTTTCATTTTCCCTTGGGCAGCTGATAAAGACTTTCTTGCTATCAAACAAGCATGGTATTGATGCTCCCGACACTGTGTGACAAACTCAAGGACATTAGAAAATCTAAAAGATTTCTGACAGGAGTTGCTCCTTCAGAACCTTCAGTGGTCCTCTTACACCAGGCCCAAAAACTAGTTCAGCAGGGCTAAAACCTAGAGACTCCTGATTAGCTTCTCGGGGTGCAAACAGCAGAAAAGGAAGGCCTTCATTCCAGCTTTTGTTTGTTTCATGGCAATATTTCCGCATTATGGCCTTGATAGTCTGATGCCACCTTTTCAGAGCGCCTTGTGACTGGAGACGGTAAGGACTTGAGGGAGCGTGTTTAATCCTAAAAGACTGTTGTGTCTGCTTGAAGATTTTGGATTGAAAATTGCTACCTTGATCAGTTTGTATGATTCTAGGCACACCAAAAGTTGAAAAAAACTTTAGAAGAGCTTTAGTTATGGTGGGTGCTGTGGTCTTCCGTAGTGGAATGGCTTCAGGGAAACGAGTGGCAACACACGTCAGTCAGGAGAAACTGATTACCAGCTCACATTAATACTGGCAGGGGACCCACACAGTCCCTCGGACACTCTCAAAAGGCTCACCGACTGCAGGAATGGGTTTAAGAGGGACGGCTGGTATCCTCTGATTAGGTTTATCCACTATTTGGCAAACTTTACATGTTCTACAGAACCTGGCATCATCCTTTTTCAGGCCTGGCCAGAAAAAGTGCTGCAGAATACGGTCATAGGTTTTAGTGCTTCCCAAATGACCCGACCATGAGTGAGTGGTCATGTGCCATCTGCAGTATTTGTTCACGATAACCTTGAGGAATGACAACTTGATATACTACTCCCCAATCCTCTTCAATACTTTTCTGTTGCAAGACAGGCCTTGAGATCCATTTCCTCATGAGTAAACCATCCTCAACATAAAATTTATGGGTCTTATTATTTACAGAATCACTCACACCTTCAAAGCATTTAATGAGTGTTTCACCATTTTTCTGAGCTTGGCTCAAACTCTCATGTGATATTGATTGCGAGATAAAAACCTCAGACTTTTGGGTGAAGTCCTCCATGAGGGTTGCTGGTTCTACAAGGTCATCTGCTGGCAGCTTGTCCTCCATCAAAGCCTCCAAGTTCACTTCCTTCAGCTTACGGGCTTGGAACCTGGTAAGAGCACTGACAGCAAACACATCAGGATGGGATTCCAACATCTTATATTCACCCATTATGCAGCTGGGATTATCAACCATCTCAGGCTATTTTACTACCATCAAAGAACTTTGAGGTGACTCATTAATTGAATGTCCACAACACCTTTTATTTTTATGCTAAATATTTTATTAGTAAAGCAAATTTGCAAGGGTCAGTACAGCTTAATCAAGTAGCAGAAATAATCAAATCAGTAAAATCAATCATCTAGCCTGTCTTTCCCTAACGCTGATACTAAGAACTAAAAAGGGAACCTTTGAGAGAGACGGATGGAGTATGGCGTTTCGAAACCCAGAACTGGATCGATGATGAAGAAGGTGTTGCAGCAGGAGGAGGAGGTCTTTATCTTTGCCTATTTCATCTATTTGGGGTCTGAGCCCAATTGATGAGAGAAGTGCAATTTGAAGCCACATGTTGCGGGGCTGACGGGTTGGTCCCCGTGCGCAGGACAGTCTTCGGCTCTGTGGCCCCGGCTCTTCTTCAGCTGCAGAGTTCTTTGTCCGTCTCGGTCTTGGCTCGAAGCTGCCTGGAGGATCCAACCAAAGATTCCTCTTTTGCTCTCTCTTTTTATTGGGTTTATCCAGCCTTATGGTGCATTTGCATTGGCTAACACTGTTGCTGTGCTTGTTTCATTGGCTGACTGTATGGACAGATGATCTCATATCCATCACTGTCTTAGAGACATTATGTCCTGATGTCTGTGCTAATGTCTCAGGGTTGCTCAACATTCCTCCCAAGTCTTTTCTTTGAAACATTCAAGTTGTTCAACAATCTGTTTGGAAGTAAGGCATTGATCATCTCTGCTCTCCCATTAGTGCCCATTTTACCCCTGACCTTTCACCTTTCACCCATTATCCACCTCCAACACATCATCAGTGATCTTTAATTGCAGTTACACGCTTTACACCATTTCAAGTTCAATGTTAAAATCACATTCATAACCCTTTTAGTTTCTTTGATTTAGCATTCATTTATAATTTTATGATAACCACAACTTATTACTCTTATTATAACCATAATGTGAGTTATTAAAGACGTTCTGAAAAGAAACCAAGAATAATTCATTATTGTAATTATGTGATATCAAAATTACAGTTCCTTGTTTTACTTCTAAATGTTCCCACAAGTAAGTGTACACGTATTGTTATAAGTAAACCAATATTAATATAAGTACTTTACTTTGAATCTTATCTAATTACTCAAAATGTTGGGATTTCATCCTTTAAAACTTTCAAGCTGTGAAACAACAAATAATCTCAGCTACTTTATAAATCTGCAAGCTGGAAACTTACTTCCTCTTTTCCAGGAAACCAGCTCTTCGTGTCTCATCTCTCTCTCTGATTATGATTTCTTATTATTAGATAGAAAAAATAAGTATAATGAAAGCTAAGTTTGCAGGAGACAAAAACAACACTCACAACCAGATTTATTTTATTGCAGTCTGGGTCTACTGTTGGATTTAGATATCATTTGTGTGACTAATTTACTTTATTTGTTGCTACTGTTAACTAAAATCTCCAGCATGGGGAAGTGGGATGATCTCGGATTTTCTTGAGATCAGACCTTTCACATGCTGGGAGCCCAACACCCTCCTGCAGTTCTGCGTCCTCATCCCAGGAGAGAAGAAAAGGTTCATCTGGGATGCTGGGATGTGAAGATGCAGATTCTTCATCCTCCAATGTCACAAAGGGCTCAGTATAGTCTTCAAAACTCCACTTCTCCTGACATGCCTCAGTTAAGAACTTTTCTACTTTGTAAGATTATCTTACTCTCAGGAAGATGCCGACCACAACAAGTTAGAAAAACCTTGTATTGCTGCTGCTGAAAACAATTTGTAAAAGTTTTCTAAGCAACAGGACGCCTACGTGGGGTGACTGGGAGCGGCGGAAAATCCTTTTCATCAGCCTCCGGATGAAGAGTGAGCCCTGAGATGAGGCCCACTACAGTTGTGTCATCTCCAAATTTAACTAGGGTTGTACTTTGATGGACTGAAACACAATCATGTGTGTACAGCGTGAAGAGCAGAGGGCTTAGCAAACAGCCCTGAGGAGAACCAGTACTGATGTTGATGGCTGAGGAGGTATGGGGACCAATTCTAACTTTTTGCTTGCCAGGAAATCCTTAATCCAGCAACAGGAAGAGGGGATTACTAGGTGTGCCAGTTTACGCACTAATCTGTCAGGGAGGAAGTATGTGTGTGTGTTCGCATGGCCAATACATGCAATTGCATATAACAATACATATAATGATGATTGGGGGTCATACAGAAGACTATTTTGTGTGTGTGTGTTGCTGGTAAACAGAATAATTATCAATCTGGATGTTTGGTTTATAAATGTTTTCAAAACATTCATAAAGGGGAGCAATGGAAGGATAAGAAAATACAAGGACGATGAAATATTATTTGCATCCCAAAATGGCTCCTTTTCGCTTTTCATACCGACAAATAATTATGTGTCATGTCCCAATAAAGACAAAATTGAGTGAAATGTATTTTACTGCATTTTCCATAGAAAACGGACTGAAATATGGAAAAAGCAAAACAGTATATAAATCAGTGTAATCACAAGAAGACAGAAGACTGGTAAAAGAAAGTGCCTTGTGTTTTATGAAGCATTATGAAACCATTCAAATTTGAAATGTGGCATTTTCATATTTCCCTTTAAAAGTCATAATCCCAAACCTATCTGAAAAACTGCATTTCACATAGAAAGTTCTCCATGATGTAATTTTGCAACCACCGAGTTTAATTTAAGTGGCAAAAGAAGGTCAGAAGGATGTTAACTTGGGAAAATATCAGAAGTTTTTGCAGCCATATTAACGACTGCAGAGTGAATCAGAGCGAAGACTCACTTCATGATGGGAATTCAAAATGTCCAGGTGCTGTTAATAAAATAGAACAGAATCAGATGAAATCAAACCTAAGGTAGCTCAGTCACAAGCATTTACTTCATCTTTCTCACTCCTTCACAGGACAGATCCAGCTACCTTAAGATCTGTTTAAGTTCTTTAAGAAAACATGATAAGAGTAACTTGACTACAACACTGTAAATATGGAAACAAACCAAAACAGGTTTGCCACTATTAAATTTAGACAGCTGCAATGAACACAATCAGAAAAAACATGTAAAACAGAAACATTGTTAGTTTTAACATCAGAACAGAAGGAAACATCTGGAGCCAGATTCATAAATCCCAGATGAGTTTACATCTAATGTGTTTGAGCACATTTTTCATAATATAAAAATATATATTTTTGAACACTTTTCATGCTTGCACTTTTTATACTTTTACTTGCAGCAATAATCAGTCTGACATGATTATTTATTCATATTTAAATAGTGCTGCACAAAATAAAATTCTAACTCCAAGGTTTTTATTTTTATATAATTACATCTCATTAACTCCTGATTTAAACAGTCAGCCCTTAAAGCTGCAGTAAATAATTATTCAAAGTATTTTTTATATTATATGTGTCATGACAGGATAACATGTAAAAAAAAACATTTGTAGAAATCCGCTGCTTGATCAGAAACAACCAATTCAGAAGAAGACTGAATTTAGATGTTACATTATAACATCTGAAATCTACTGGCTTATGTCTAAGTGTTAGTAAAATATGTCTGATAAATGCAAAATCATAATTAAAAGACTTTATAACAGTCTGTTTTTGAACATGTAGCCAAATAATAATCAATAACCATTTAATAATATTCTTAAGAAGCAATTTAAATTATAAAAATGACAGAAAAAATAAAGTAAAAAAACAACTTGTTGAATATTTCTATGAAAAACTACATTTACTTGGAGTCACTGTAATAAAACCTCTTCCATTTTACAGTGAAAACACATAAATCCATTCAACAAACTGCAGAACAAGTGATGATGAAGCTAATCCTGATTAGCAACGTTAGCTCACTGCAAAAACATCTCATGTCGTTCTCTAGCTTCTACAGCAAAATTTTCTTTTTTTCTTATTTCACGTTACAAGAACTTCTCAGTAAGTTGTATAAGTTTTTGTACTGACTATATGTATATGAAAAAGTACTAGCTCCCCTGGCAGATTTCTCCACTTTTAACAAGAAATAATCTGCCAATGGAATGAATCCATTGTTTTAATATTGACAGGTTATTTACCTGAAACAAGCTCATATATCTTTTTCAGAACTTATTTGTGAATCCGTATGTCTGATTTTAAGTTTACTAGACAAAAAATACTTTGTAATATTTAGAGTTTTTGCGGTGCATGCATCAGGTCTTTAACAGGAACAGAAAGATTTGTTCATCTCGAAGGGAACACTTAATCAACTCTGTGCAAAATAATTACAATTTCTTGCAAAATGTGACTTTCCATCCATTCAAAGAAGAGGATTTTCACCACAGTAAGGTGCTTTAAGACAATAAGTTCATATTAATGAAGCACAACCTGATAAAAACACAAATTCAAAAGAAATACCACCCTGAATGTCTGGAGTCTCCAGAGTGACATGCAGAGGTCTGGAGGTCACAAGTGTCCATCTCTACCTGAGCATCGTTAACATTCAGGGTCATCTGCTCTTTCTGTCCCGGCCGGTTCCATTGCTGGCGACGCCATCCAGCTTGAGGTGAGCGGCACCATAACGTGTGATGAGCGCTCCGGGTAGCAGAGCCATGAGCGCAATGGCCAGCAGCTGAGCCAGCGTCCCCCATGAGAAGATGTCATCCAAAGAGGACAGTTGTGACAGGACAGAGCCCGTACGCACACAGATGAAGTTGTAAGGGATTAAACCTTGGAGGAGGAACAGCAGCTGTGTCATAGTATCTGCGACACATCAGTGTGATTAGTCATTTTTATGCTTTTTAGCTCACCTATTAATACAGAGAAGAAGAAAATGGATAGAGGGATGTTGAGGACAGGACAGGTGATGTTAAGGAACCAGTTAGGAGTCATGGGGAAGAAACGAAGGAAGAGGAGGAAGAAGAATAAGCTGCTACGATTCTCTTCCACCTGACAGGAAGACAACAACAGGAGACTCCAGGAAAGAAAATATGACAAAGAAAAAGGTTTTGCAGGAATTCAAAAACGAAAGGCAAGACGTGGTTAGGAAAGAAGTTGTGAGAAAAATGTTCAACTTTTAATCCACCAATTCTTAGAAAAAAAGCTTTACTAGTGCAAAACTTCAGTTCAACAACTTTATTATGAGTTTAGTTTAAATTGAAAGAGATGTTCATGAAACCAAAACGTTTCTGATGGGGAGTAAAAAACTGTCAATATGCAAGCACTAGAACTTAAAGATTATATGACACTTTTAGGTTTCCTTTGCATTTTATTGAGTTATTTATAGACCAAAAAGATGAACAGAAAACTCAGATGCATTTTGTTACACTTTCATGTTTTCCCTTAGACGAGGTTTAACCCACTTATAATCAGCTTTATCGGACCCCCGTCAGGTTCATTTTTCAGTCATACTTGCACTCTTATTCTTTCATTTAAGTGCCACAACTTCAAACTAAACATTTATCAGCAAGCTAAAAGTTAGCTTCAAACTAAATATTTAGCTCTGAGCAAATGATTTAGTCAGAAGCTACATATTTAGTTTGCTAACAAAATACTCTGTTTGCAAGCTAAATAATTAATATTTAGTTATTTATATTGACTCATTTAGTTAGCAAGCCAATTATTAAAACATTTCCATTGGCGGTTCACTGAACACTATGCTCTGCACGGCATTGTTTTGTCTGTTTTTACTTTTTAAGTCTGAAAATATTTGGCTTGCTAACTAAATTTTTAGTTTTGAGCTACATATTGAGTTTGTAATTTAAATACTTAACTTGCTAAGTAAATGTTTTGTGTTGGACTAAACATTTAGTTTGGAAACAAACTACCTGGCTTGCTGAAGAAATATTTAGCTAACAAAATATTTAGTTTTGTAGTGAAATATTTAGTTGACATATGAAATATTTATCTTCCTAATGAAATATTTAGTTTGAAACTATGACATTTATTAATAAGTAACACTGATTTATGACTTTAAAACAAATTACTTCTATTTTTCTCATGGCAGGTTAATAACCAGATTATTGTTTATTATTGCTTCTGTATCTTCACAAACTCCTAGCATTTAATATGAACATGAATGAATCCATTTTAATCTGAGTTCTTTTTGACAATGTATCAACACAAGATGGGCTGCAAGTTCATCTCAGATGAGCTGCATCTATTGTACCAGATGTCAGAATGTCTGTCTTAACCTCCCTGTTGGATTCAGGTTTTTCTGCTTCATTTCCAGTTGGGTCATCATTTCTGACACTCAGAAAACATCCAGAATATCACTGAAAACAAGTTCAATCCTTCAAAAAAATGTGTCAATTCTCGTTTACCACACAAATAAAGGATAAATGACAATCTAGTGAAGACTGACCCACCTACCTTCATCTGCAGCAGAGCCACTTTCTCTGGGAAGAAGTGAACCACATACTGCTTCCCAAACGCCGAGGACAACAGGAAGCAGAACGTGGAGCCGAAAGTGGCGAGCAAGCAGGTCAGCATCAGACCCACCCAGGGTCCGAAAATCGCCCCCCCCAACATGTTCTGAAACAGGGGAGATTAGATGGAGGGAAGGGTTTTAGTTTCCCTGCTTTCTGTTTAGTTTCTGTCAGTGTGTGACTCACCAGGAAGGAGGAGCCAGGTATGGCGAAGGACTGCTTATAGAGGTAGGCGCTACAGAACAGCAGCAGAACGTAGCTGTAGTTCTCCGTTTTGTAGAACTTAAGCGTCTTGGCCAGTTCCTGTAGTGACTTCAGGTCTGATGGGAACTTCAGCCTGGACAGAAAATCAAAGGAACACACCATGGTACACTAATGTGAGTTTTTTTCATTTGCTACTAAAATCAAGTGGAACACAATAAGAATGAACCTAAAGCACAGCAAAGAAAATTGACAAGAGATTGACTGAAAAAGAAAAATGGCCCATTCTTAAGCTGATTTCAAATGGAAAATCATATTGACTGTGCAGTACTTTCAGCTATGGTGCATTTATAAGCTGGTTGTATTTCTCTTTTGTTATTCATACACAAAATGTTTTTTGGTTATTTGTATTGTTCCTTACCTGACTGAAACACCTCTAGGAACTTTGTCGTTGTTTTAAACATGTTACTTAAAGATTGGAAGCCCCGTCTGTGGTATTGTCTTTAAATAGTTTGCACCCTTTACACATGTGGGCATGAAAATAGACATGAAATACGTTGACGCCCATTGAGTGGGTGGGTCTGTTTGCTGCGATATGTCACGGCTTCCGCCATATTTAATGTGGAGTAGCTGCCAGTAAGCTAATACAAGTGAATGGACCGAACTTTACAAAGTGCCGTTCTGCAATACCTGTCTGTCACGGACATATTCTCTCACACACACTAATATATGTACTAATCAAAGAAAGCACTAAAGACAGTGCTTCTAACTTTTATCATCTTGTCCTGTGGGAGAGGTGTGTGCTGTTTATTTTTCATTGAAATAGATCCAGTTTATTTATAGATCTACTAAGATAGTAATATTAGTAATATACTAATCCATTCTGTATTGCAACTATTTAATTGAAGCTAGAAAGTTA